TTTTGAACATTTCTTCATGTGCTTGTTGGCCATCGGAATGTCTTCTTTGGTGAAGTGTCTGTTCATATCCTGTGCCCATTTTTCAATTGGATTATTTACCTTTATCTTGTGGTATTTTAGTATTTTATAAATTCTAGATGTAAGTCCCTTATCTGACTTGTCATTACCATATACTTTTCCTCAGTCAGTGGCTTCCCCTTTTTACCCTGTTGGAGAAGATTTTGGATGTGCATAGGGATTTGATTCTTAGAAGGTCCCATTCAACTATTGTATCTTCTCCTGGTTGTAGATAATTCATTACTTCATAGCCAGCACTAAACAGTTAATTGTAATTTATCTACATGGCAATTTATAAATTCATCACAATATATTGTTCATCAACAGCGCGGAATTCTCCCTCAATCCTGAGATCCCAAGTCATCTCCTTCTTTTGCCTGTCATGGTCTTTGGTGCAATAGTGTGGTCAGAATCCTTCCTTTTCTCAGTAGCACATGTCTATTAGTGTACCGCAGAGTTCTTGCAGACTGAGGGTAAAGTAATAATGAGAATGACAGTCAAGAATGAGATAAGACAGCTGTGCCTCTCTGTGTATTTATTGAGAATCATCAGGAAGGTAAACAAAGTATAATCACAAGGGGGTAGAAAACAAAACCAAAGAATCATGAGGAAGTCTTTTGCAAATAAGGCAGAGTTCTTCTGTATTGTTTACCTTATGCTTATCTCAGGAGGGAAGGATTCAGTAAATACAAACTAAGAAAGATGTTGACTCTTTCCGAATGCCTTAGTGCCTCAGGGTGAACTCCAGCTTGCGTTATGCCTCCCTCATATCCTGATACAGCATTTGGTTTATTGTTAATATTAAATTTGATGTTCAGCTTCCCACAGTTCTTGACTCTGAAGAGAGCCTATGAGTCTTCAGTGTTCAGCTCATTGTTTTCCACAGAAGTGCCGGTTTGTTTGGGATCCAAGATTTCACATATTTTTAAGGGGTATTACATGTTCAACCAGTAACATTCAATCTTTGGGTTTCATTCTACTCAACCAATAAGATTAAGAAAACATGCGTTTGATCGGTCATGTTCAATACTAATTGTGTTTCCTTGGCAAAATGGCCAGTCACCAGTCATTTTGTCCTTATCAAGGGTCAGCACCTGTTATGTGTATAACGGAGTGAGTCCCCCAAAAGATCAAGGTACCAATTAGCCAAACTAACAAAGTTTATTTTGCATTTGAACCCGGGCTCCCACATGCTGACACAGTAGCATCCAGCCAAGAGCTCCAAACTGATGTCTGCCCCTCCTTTTTTTTTTAATTTAGTTTATTTTTCATTTCAATGAACATCTACAGGGATTTTGGAATTCCATTCATTCATTGTTGCACCCATCTCCCAGCACACCCCCTCCCCTCTCCCCCCCATTTGCTCCTCTCCTTTGAAAAGCAAAATAAAAACTCCCTCATTGGTACACAATCCCCCCCCGCACCTCCCCAAACCCCACCCCCACCCCAAATATAAACCACTCTGCAACCCTCATTGCATACTCCTACGATAAAAATAATGCCCTAAAATATACTATTAGACTATTCTCTCCCCCATAGACTTCAATGCTGTAAACATATTTCACCCAGTTTTTCTCAGTCTTACCCCCACCCCAGTGCCAGCCCCATTCTACAACAGTGGCACCATATAGCATTTGTCCCTTTGTGACTGAGATACCTCACTCAGCATCATGTCCAAATCAATGCAAATCAAGACAACCATGAAATCTCATCTCACTCCAGTAAGACTAGCAAAAATTAACAGAACAGCAAACAACAAATGCTGGCGAGGTTGTGGAGAAACTGGAACCCTTATTCACTGTTGGTGGGAGTATAAAATGGTGCAACCACTGTGGAAGGCATTCTGGCGCTTTCTCAAAAAGTTGCAAATAAAGATACCATTAGACCCAGCAATTCCACTACTGGGAATATACCCCAAAGAGACCATAAATGACATCCAAGTAGATATATGCACACCCATGTTTATTGCAGCTCTGTTCACAATAGCAAAGAGTTGGAAACAACCCAAGTGCCCATCAACAAACGAATGGATAGAGAAGCTGTGGCATATTCGCACAATGGAATACTATGCTGCGTTGAAAAACAAGGAACTCATGCAATATTACTGAAAATGGGTGACCCTGGAGGACATGATGCTGAGTGAGGTATCTCAGTCACAAAGGGACAAATGCTATATGGTGCCACTGTTGCCCCTCCTTTTATACCTCTGCTACTCCCCTGCCCAACCATAAATGCCATGATTGGC